GAGGGCACTCGTGGTCGTCGAGTCAGTTGTCTCCACTCCGACCGTGGGGGCGAGTTTCGCTCCGGCATTCTCGGCGGATTCTGCGGCGAACAGGGCATCACCCAGACCTGGACGCTGCCAGAGTCCCCACAGCAGAATGGGGTTGCTGAGCGCCGCATAGGCTTGGTCATGGACATCGCCCGCACGTCCATGATCCATGCCCGTGCGCCCCATTTTCTGTGGCCCCACGCGGTTCGCTACGCCGCACACCAGCTGAATCTCCAGCCGCGTGTCTCGCGGCCCGAGGCTTCACCGACCATTCTTTGGACTGGTTCCCCTGGTGTCGGGTCGGCCTTTCGAGTCTGGGGCTGCCTTGCGCTTGTTCGCGACACCTCCGCGGACAAGCTCTTGGCACGCGCCGTCCCCTGTGTCTTCCTTGGTTTCCCAGTGGACTCTGCTGACTGGTCCTTTTACCACCCTCCCCTCCACCATTTCCTAGACTCCCGTGACGTCCGGTTTGACGAGTCCGTGTCCTACTACACCCGGTACCCCTGTCGAGGTCTCCCGGTACCCCCTCCCCCTCTTTTCCTCGCACCCTCTCCTCCTCCTGCTCTCGCTCCTCCGGTACCCCCGCCCCCCCCTGGTCCTGCCCCGTCTGGTGTGTCCCACGCTACCCCTCTACCCTCGGTCGCGCGTCAGGTAGCGTCTCCCTCCCCGCAGTCCTCCTCACAGTCCCCTCAGCAGCCTTCGGCACTTCCGCGACAGGTTACTGTGGACTCGGTTGGTGTTGGAGCTGGAGGTGCAGCCGCTGGCGGTGCTCGGTCTGGGGGTGCTCGGTCGCGGGGTGCTGGAGCTGGAGGTGCTGGCGCAGGTGGCACTAGCTCTGGGGGTGCTGGAGCTGGAGGTGCTGGCGCAGGTGGCGCTAGCTCTAGGGGTGCTGGAGCTGGAGGTGCTGGCACTGGAGGTGCTAGTTCTGGGGGTGCTGGAGTTGGAGGTCCTAGTACTGGCGGTGCTCGTTCTGGGGGTGCTGAGTCTGAGGAGACTGACGCTGGAGACCCTGGTTCTGCGGAGTCCACTCCGCCTCCCCACCGCCACGACACGCGTCTCTAGGCTGCCCGTCGGCGTGAGCGTGAGGAGCAGGAGCGGTTGGAGAGGGAGCGGCAGGAGTTGCGGGTGCTGGACCTTCTGGAGCAGCAGCGGCAGCAGCAGCAGCAGCAGCAGCAGCAGCAGCAGCAGCAGCAGCAGCAGCGGCAGCAGCAGCAGCAGCAGCCGCAGCCGCAGCAGCAGCAGCCGCAGCCGCAGCCGCAGCCGCAGCAGCAGCAGCAGCAGCCGCAGCCGCCGCCGCAGCAGCAGCAGTCGCAGCCGCCACCGCAGCTTCCTCTGGAGCGGCGGTTGTTCCCACCTGTGAGTGGCCTGCGGGCCCTTGGCCTTTCCTCCTCTCCTCCTGTCTGCTCCCAGTCTCCTCCTGTGTTTGTCCCTCCGTTGCCTCCTCATGACGACCGTCCGGCGGTCTGGTCTTCTCCTCCTCTTCAGTCTCCTCCTCCTTCTGTCCATCACGACTTGATCACTCGTTGTCCTCCACGTGCCCGTCACTCGTCCCCTGTTACTGACCTTCACACAGCCCTCCTTTGTTCGTCTCTTCGTCATTCCCCTGTGTCCGTTCTCCCGTCTCCTCCTCTGTCCTCTCTCCCAGCCCTCCCCACTCCTATCTCTGACTACTACCGCGCTGTTCGTCCTGTTGCCGCACGTGTCCTCGCCACTCTTGTCACCGACTCTCGTTTCCCTCCGTCGTCTGTATCGGCTCTTACTGCCGCTGTCGCTGAGTTTGCTGCCGCCAGCCGCCTTGACTACGTCACCCGTGTGGTGCCAGCTCCTCCCTACCGTCCTCTGTCCGTCGGGGGTGGGTTTGCCCTTGGCTGTGACGTCCTAGAGGACAGAGAGTCTGAGCTGGAGTACTGGGCAGCCGCTTCTCCCTCTGTGTGTGCCATGCTGCTCTCCCCTGAGGGAGACCCCGACGCCCTTGACATACCGACTCCTCGCACTTACCGCGAGGCAGTGTCAGGGGCGTGGGCCTCTCATTGGAAAGCCGGTGTTCAAGGCGCGCTACGTGGCTAGGGGCTTCAGTCAGCGTGAGGGAGTTGACTTCTTCCAGACCTTCGCCCCTACCCCGAAGATGACTACTCTTCGGGTGTTACTCCACATAGCAGCGCAGCGAGACTACGAGCTGCACTCCCTCGACTTCTCCACTGCGTTCCTCCAGGGCCGACTGCACGAGGAGATCTGGCTGCGCCGTCCTCCTGGCTTCACTGACACCTTCCCACCTGGGACCCAGTGGAGCCTGAGGCGACCAGTCTACGGTCTCCGCCAGTCGCCCCGTGAGTGGCACGACACTCTTCGCTCCACGCTTCGTGACCTTGGGTTCAGCCCGTCCTCCGCCGACCTGTCGCTGTTTTTTCGAGCGGGTTCTACTCCTTTCTTTATCCTTGTCTACGTTGACGACTTGGTGTTTGCTACAGCAGACAGGGCAGCACTGGCTCAGGTGAAGTCCGAATTGCAGAAGAGACACAAGTGCACTGACCTCGGTGAGCTGCACCGTTACCTTGGCCTGCAGATCACCCGGGACAGAGCCGCTCGCACCATCACACTGACGCAGTCACACATGGTGCAGCAGGTCCTTCGGCGGTTCGACTTCCAGTTCTCCACCACTCAGCCCACTCCTCTTGCTGTTGACCACAGACTCACGGGCCCCTTTCCTGACGAGCCATTTGAGTCCAGTGGACCCTACGCAGAGCTGGTGGGCTGCCTCATGTACCTAATGACTTGTACTCGACCGGACCTCGCCTTTCCCCTCAGCATCCTTTCTCGCTTTGTTGCGACTGGGAGACACCGCCCTGTCCACTGGACAGCTGCTGTGAGGGTGGCGAAGTACCTGGCGACTACATCAGGCATGGAGCTTGTGCTTGGAGGGACTCAGCCAGTGGCGTTGACTGGTCACTGCGACTCTTCCTACGCTGACGACGTGGAGACTCAGCGCTCGACTCAGGGTTACTTCTTCAGTCTGGGAGCTGGTGCTGTGTCGTGGAGGTCTACACGGTCGTCGTCTGTTGCTAGTTCCAGTGCAGAGGCAGAGATCTACGCGGGTGCCATGGCGGCACAGGAGCTTCGCTGGTTGACCTTCTTGCTCGCCGACCTTGGTGAGCGGCCTCGCTATGCACCGACCTTGTACGCTGACAACAAGGCCATGATCCTCCTGTGTCGAGAGCCTCGACTGGAGAGCAGAGTGAAGCATATTGACGTGAGGTACTTCCTCCTGCGAGAGCTGCAGCGACGCGGTCAGGCACGCCTGGACTTTGTGGCCTCAGAGGCCAACACTGCAGACGTCTTCACCAAGGCCTTGGCGCTTGGTGACCACCACAGGTTCTGTGTGCAGTTGGGGCTTGTTGAGGTAGGCCCTCGGTTGCTGTAGTCCTGTTGCTTGCTCTGCTTGTTGTGCTTTGTATTTATATCCTAGTGAACTCTTGAACTGGCCTTGTGGCCGCTTGCTTGCACTCGGAATTTGTGTGGTGTCCTTGAGATCCACCCTGAGCTTGCCTTGGTTCTTGCTTTGACTGGTCTTGTGACCGTTTGTTCACCTTGCTTGCTTTGATGCCCCTCACTTAGCCTATGGGGGTGTGTCAAATGTTGAACATTGATATGATAGGCTGCAGTGAGTTGCACTCTAAGGGGTACAGCTTCTAGGGTTGCCTATTTGTACCCCATTCGTTTCTATTCCAATCATTCCGTTGCGTTCACTGTTTGAGATGGGGGTGGCGGGCGTGAGTGATCAGCTGCGCTCCTCCTCCTCTCTCTCCCACTGCTGCAGCTGCCGCTGAAGGGGGGGGAGGGTGTGGGGGAGACGGGGGAGTGGCGCTAGGGATGCCGAGGGGTGTGAAAGGGGGTTTGGGACAATGCGAGGAGGTTGAAGGCGGGTGGCCGTCGTGAAGTCCGCAGCTCCAGTCGCCCGTGAGACCGTTGCGCCAGGGGCCTGTGTACCAGTTGCTCCAGTCGCCCGTGGGCCAGTTGCTCTTGCCGGCGAGCAGAGCCAGTTACTCCAGTTGCCCGTGTGCCAGTTGCACCTGTTGTTCGTGCGCCAGTTGCTCCAGTTTGCGCCGTGTGCCAGCAGCTTCAGCGGCCGGCCGCCCACCTCCTCCTCTCCTCTCCTGGTCCCTCCTCCTCACTTGCCCTTTGTTTCTGCCACTTGGCTTTGCTTGTGTACTGGTCCTGCGACTGCTTGTTGTGTTGGCTATCCCCCACTTCCCCTATGGGGGTGTGTCAAAATGTTATTTGCTGTGTAGGCTGTAGTGGGGTACTCAACAGAGAGTACAACCCTTTTAGGGTTTCCTATATGTACTCCACCTGCCTGCTAGTGCAAACCCTCTTCTACCATTCCTTCTTCTTGCCTAGTTTCAACATCCTGTACTCTGGATTTCTTCGATATTCGGACCTCATAGCCATTGAGTGGCAAGACATCCAGTTCGACGGCCCAGTTGAAATGAGAATGATGGCAATTGATACCGGTAAGTACGAACCTGTGATAAAACTGGGAGTATCCCAGCCACTAGACCACTGTGATAAAACTGGCTTGTTAAGTAGCGGGTCAGTGCACCCATAACCCCCAGGCTAACGAGTATGTAACCCTTCCCTAAGATCAATCGGGCATCCAGTGCTGGTATTCTGACACTACTCGATCTGCGGTGGGGGATTGATCAAGTAACCCCTAATCGAGGGCAGAACGCACTTGGTGCGGTTTGGCAAGGGCCGAAACCTGGTTGTACATAAGGTCTCTACTGCTGGCTTGTTTGCAATATGTAAAGGCGTTCCCTACATGAAACTCTGATGAAGTCTTCAACTTTTATCCAAAATACATGTACCCCAATAGACTCATACAACTTATGAAAGTCATGCGAAGGTAGGCAACGCAACAATTCTGACACGAGGCTTGCAATTATAAAGAAATAAAGCATGGGTGCTGTGTGCGGAGCTCATGAAAGGTTTCTTTCATCCTCAACCTCCGTCTCAAGCGCCGCTACTGCCTCTGCTTCCTCTACCTCTGCCTCTGCTAGAGCATCAGTGGCCGAAGCATCATTGCCAGCATGGCTGCTTGTTCCACTGGCTGACATGTCACTCACTCCACTGCCTGAGCCACTGCCTGTGCCCTCGCCGTCACCACTCCCCGCACCATCCCCATTCCCATCCATCACCCCAACCTCTTGCGCCACCTGCACATCACCACTAGTGCCCTCTTTCCTCTTACTCCTCTCTCCATGCCCTCCCCCCAGCTCATCAGACGCCCCCTCAGTGCCACCCGTGTTTGTTACCCCTCCTCGCACCGCCTCCCCGCCGTCACTGCCTGTTGGCTCTGACACGTCTCTCATGCCTTCATCTGAACCACCTTCTTCCGGCCGCTCATCCCTCACACTCAACCTTGTGTCGCCATGACTGCTCCCACCAGCAGTGTTTCCACCTTCACTACTATCACTCTCGCCAGCATCACTCCCAGTGGAATCACCTGATGAAGCACCACCCGCACCACCCTCACCACCCGCACCACCCTCGCCACCCTCACCAACACTAGAACCGTCCGCACTGCCTTCCGCACCACCCTCCTTCCCTTCCTCCTCTTCAGAGACATCCTTGCTCCCTTGTCCAATCCCCTCATTAACTTCTGATCCTCTTGCTCCCTCTCCTCCCGCCCCTACCTTCCCCAACCCCGCACCCTCCAGCCCCTCACTGTCAGCACTGCTCTCACTTCTCCGCCCGTCCCCGCCATCCTCCACTGCACCGTCCAGCCCAGCTTCCCTGCTGCCACTCACACCAACCTCTCCACTGCTGCTGCCGCCGCCGCCGCTGCTGCTCTCCTCCGTGCCGCCCTTGCTCTGCTCCCTGTCCGCCTCCCCATCAGACCCCTGCGCTGCTCCGCCGCCCGCCCCCTCGCTTCTTTCTCCCTGCTCCGCCTCCTCTGCCTGGCCCCCATCGCCCGCATTCACATCACTGCCACCCACCCGCTCCCCACGCTCCCCACCCTCCCCGCCCCTGCCGCCTCCCGTGCGCCCAGCGCCCCCCAGGTGCTGCTCCAGGCCTTTCAGCAGCTCGTCTATCTCATGCTGCTCCTCGCCCCCTGCACCGGACCTCTCCCCCCCTCCTAACCCACCCTCACCACCTTCTAACCCACCCTTGCTGGCTTTCAACCCATTCTCACCGCTCCCTCTGCCTGCAGCACCGCTCTCGACACCGTCAGCTGTAGCTTCCCCATCACCTGCTTCTGCTCCTTCGCCCAACCCATCCCCTCCCTTAGCCCCTCCCTCTCCCCCATCCCTCACTCCCAAATCCTTCCCACCCCCACGCCCCATTCCTATCTCCTCCGCAATATCATCGAAACCTGCTTCTCTTGTCCCACCCACCTTACCCATGCCACTCAAACCACCTTTGTCCGCTCTTCTGCGTTTTCGCCTGACTCGTTTCTCCCTTCCCCGGCCACCCTTGCCCTTCCCCTCCTCCAGTTTGCTAATAATCTCATCCCACACACTCCCCTCCTCGCCCTTCCTCCTCACTTCTCCTCTCTCGCTCTCCTCCTCTTCCTCCACAGAAACACCCTCCTCCTCCTCCGTCTCCTCCTCCTCTTCCTCCTCTTCCTCTTCCACCGCCTCTTGCCGTCTCGATCCCCTCCGGTGCCGCCTCCCCTTCACCTTCACGCCTCCCCTTCTGCTTCGTCTCTCCATCTCCCCCCATCGCCTCGCCCCACTCCCCGTTCCCCCCCCTACCCCACCCACTCCCTGCATCTCCCCTCGCTCGCCTTCCCGCTCGCCTCCACCCCACTCCCCATGCCTTGCCGCAACGTCCCCTTCTCCCCATCTTCCGCTCCCCTGCTCCGCCACACCCCCCTGTTCCCCATCCCTTCTTCGTGTGCCCTTCCCCCGAAACCCCGCATCCATCCCTCTTCCCGCATCCATCCCTCTTCCCGCAACCAGCAACATCGATGGCGGAATTTCCGCCAATCCATCCCCCCCCCTCACCAGCTTCCCCGCATCCATGTGTCCAGCTCCGATTGGTGCGTACTGGGGGTGCTGCCACGTTTGCGGCTGATGCACCACGACTAGGCGTGACCCTAACAGGAGGAATGCCGCTATAACGAAGCCTAGACACAGGCACGTGCATGGGAGAATGGTGAGAAGAGAGCAGCAGGAGGCGGAGGAGGAGGAGGAAAGCGAGGGGGGAGTGGCGGGGGAGGGCATGCGGGAATACGAAAAGTGCGAAGGGGTTATGCGGAACGAATCAGAAAACCCCCCAATGCGCGCAGTTGCGCCTCCCCCTGATCCCGCCGCCCGTCCTCCGCCACTGCCCCATACAAGCGCACTGAGGAACGAGCGCCGGGGTGGCGTGGGGAAGGCGGAATGCGGGGGCGCGGAAGCGCGCGGAGCGGAGGCGGCGGGGGGTGCGGATGCGACGGGGAGCGACCACTGGAAGCCGCGGCGCTCCCTCGTGCCCTTTCGCATGGCGCTGCGATGCGAGTCGCAATTGGCAACAGTTGGAGAAGAACGGAATAAAGTCGACAACTGTCGCTCAGTGAACGCGATGCGTCAGCGCTGGGGGCACATCACTCCACCGTGGAACTGCCATGGATGCATGGCTTTGATCATCTGACGAGTCACAGGTGGGATGCGGTGTGTGAGGGAGGTGTTGTGGTTGGTTGGCTGGTAGGTGACCGGGCACACGATACGGTGCAATACGATGCAGTACAAATTTGCACTATTACTATTGTAAGGAAAATTCCTTTTCCTTACTTCGCACCCCTCCTTACCACGTACATGACTATTCCCGCCACCAGCACCCCACAGTAAAACGATACCCGCTCGCGACACTCGACTCGACCACTGTTCCCGCCACTGTACACCTCGCGACCCAACCTCACGGTTCGGTTGGCAAACCACACTCCGGCCCTCCACCTCGACATTTCCCAACCTCGGCGCTAGGCCCGTAGCGCACCCCAATTTCTCGCGTTACCGTTACCACGACTAGCTTTGCTATATATTCTTCGCTCATGCCTTCGCTTGATGTACCGTTTTGCTTCGATAGTGCAACTCTCGCTCACTCGCTCAATTGCACTCGTAACAACTATCAATATTCTACTATGTGAGTGTGAGGCGTGTCAGAATGTTATTATCTAGCCTGTAGTGGGGTGCTCTATAGCGAGTACAACCCTGTTAGGGTTTGCTATATGTATCCCAACTGCTGCTAGTGAAACCCCTCCTTTCTTCATTTCTCTCTTGCCTAGCCAGCTAAACCCTAGCTATGGCTCCTCACTGTGCTCACTATTCTCACATGCTATCAGAGCATCTACGCTCCTGGCCTGTGGGCCCACCTAACTGCTTCCGCTGCTACTCTGTCTGTTGCACGCCCCGTGGCGTGCGACTCCTTCTTCCTGCCGTTTTTTTCGGGTTTTCTTTCCGCCGTGCGCTCGGGGCGCGCGGCGAATTTCTGCCCGCCGTGCGCCCCGAGGCGCGCGGCGGTTTCCTACCTTGGGGACCCGCGCGCGGCCCCCGCCCTGCTCGTCGCGGCGCCATGGGGAGCACGCGCGGCCCCCGCCCTTCACGTCGCGGCGCCCTGGGGAGCCGCGCGCGGCCCCTCGCTGCCCCGTGGTGGCGCCCTGGGGGCCGCGCGCCACCCGTGGAGCCGCGCGCGGCCCCTCGCTGCCCCGTGGTGGCGCCCTGGGGAGCACGCGCGGCCCCCGCCCTCCACTTCGCGGCGCCCTGGGGAGCCGCGCGCGGCCCCTCGCTACCCCGTGGTGGCGCCCTGGGGGCCGCGCGTCACCCCTGGAGCCGCGCGCCACCCCTGGCGCCGCGCGCGGCCTCCCCCTCGCTGCCCCGTGGTGGCGCCCTGGGGGCCGCGCGCCGTCCCCCTCGCCGTCCCCCGCGCTCCTACCCCGTGCCACCCGTTTTAGGGTTTGGGGGTGGGGAGTGTGGGGGTGATGGTTGTGGGGGTGCCGGTTGTGTGCGCCGTCCCCTGCTCCTCCTCCTCCTCCGTCTCCCGCTGCTGCAGCTGCCGCTCAGGGGGGTGGGTGTGTGGGAGCCGAAGGAGTGGTGCTAGGGGGGTGACGTGGGAGTGGAGTTAGGGGTTCCGCAGGGGGTGTGTGTCAAGGGTGTGGGTCAGTTGGAGGAGGTTGTGTGGAGGTAGCTGTCGTGTCGCCTGCAGCGCCTGTAGTCCGTCGCCCTTGCTTCGGTAGCCAGTGAGCCTGTTGCACCAGTCGTCAGTGGGTCCGTTGCTCCTGCCGCTCGTCTTAGCCGCGGAGCCAGTCACTCCAGTAGTCCGTCGCCCTTGCTTCGGTAGCCACTGAGTCAGCCGCTCCTGTGCCCGTGCCTCTGCAGCTTCAGTCGTTGCCTCCCATCTTCTCTCCTTCCACAGTTCCTCCTCCTCCTCACTTGCCCTCTGTGATAGCCTCTAGCTTTGCTTGCAATTGTGCACCTGCTCTATGACTGTGTGCTCTGCTGATTACACCCCACTTTGGCTATGGGGGTGTGTCAGAATGTTATTATCTAGCCTGTAGTGGGGTGCTCTATAGCGAGTACAACCCTGTTAGGGTTTGCTATATGTATCCCAACTGCTGCTAGTGAAACCCCTCCTTTCTTCATTTCTCTCTTGCCTAGCTAGCTAAACCCTAGCTATGGCTCCTCACTGTGCTCACTATTCTCACAAGGCGTCATACACACCCATGATAAAACAATTTGAGAATCATGTCCGAATGCTATAATTGTCTAGTCTGCAGTGGGGTACTCTATAGTGAGTACAGCCCAAATTAGGGTTTGCTATATGTATCCTATCTGCTGCTAGTTCAACCACTTTTCTGTTCTGAACTTTCTCCTCGTTCGTAACTTTGACATGGTATCAAAGCAGGTCGACCCTCCCAGGTCGATCCTGTGGATGGGCCCACTGTTAGCTTCCGCTGCTGTTCTCTCAGTCGCGCGCCCCGGGCGCGTGACCATTTCCTACCTGTCGCGCGCCCCGGGCGCGCGACGTTTTCTGCCCGCCGCGAGCCCCGGGCGCGCGTCGGTTTTCTGTCCGTCGCGCGCCCAGGGCGCACGGCGGGTTTCTGCTCGGCGCGCCGCCCCCGTCGAACCGCGCGCTCTCCCTGTCGACCCGAGCGTCGCCCCAGGGGACCCGCGCGCGCTGCCCCGTCGACCCGCGTATTGCCCCCGTCGACCCGCGCGTCGCCCCAGGGGACCCGCGCGCGCTACCCTGTCGACCCGCGCGTTTCCCCCGTCGACCCGCGCGTCGCCCCAGGGGACCCGCGCGTGCTGCCCCGTGGACCCACGCGCGCTGCCCTGTGGACCCGCGCGCCGTCCCTTGCCTTTGTGTGCCGCGAAGCAGCTTCTCCCCCCCCCCCCCCCCCCTCGCCCCCCCTTCTCCTTCCTCTCCATGCTGCGCGAGCAACCGTGGGGTGGAGGGTATGGGGGTGGCGGGCATGGGGGTGGAGGGTGTGTGAGTCGTCCCTTGCTCCTCCTCCTCCTCTCTCTCCCACTGCTGCAGGTGCCGCTGAGGGGGGTGGGTGTGTGGGAGCCGAGGGAGTGGCACTAGGGGGGTGTTGTGGGAGTGGAGCTAGGGGTGCAGCAAGGGGTGTGTGAAAGGGGTGTGGGACAGTTGGGGAAGGTTGAGCGGAGGTAGCCGTCATAACGTCAGCAGCGCCAGTAGTCCGGAGCCCTTGCTCCGGTAGCCCAGCAAACCTGCTGCGCCAGTCGCCCGTGGGTCCGTTGCTCCTGCCGCTCGTCTTAGCCGTGGAGCCAGTTACTCCAGTAGTCCGGGGCCCTTGCTCCGGTAGCCACCGTGCGCGCCGCTCCTGTTGCCCGTGTGTCTGCGGCTTCACCCGTCGCCTCCTATCTCCACTCCTCTCACAGTCCCTCCTCCTCCTCATTTGCCCTCTGTGACTGCCTCTAGCTTTGCTTGTGCTTGTGAACTTCTTATGCGATTTCTTGCTGTGCTGATCATACCCCACTTTGCCTATGGGGATGTGTCAGAATGCTATAATTGTTTAGTCTGCAGTGGGGTATTCTATAGTGAGTACAACCCAAATTAGGGTTTGCTATATGTATCCTATTTGCTGCTAGTTCAACCACTTTTCTGTTCTGAACTTTCTCCTCGTTCGTAACTTTGACAAATCATACCATCTTCTCGGAAATTTTTGGAATGCTACAGATACGAATGCACTATTGTTTTCAAATAAAAGGAGAAGAATGAAAAATGTTCAAATAACCTCACGATTTGTTGGATGTGATAAACTTGGGAGCAGGGCTGTTTTTATCATATTCAAATAGTCTGTTTGTCTGATAAATACATAGTATTTTCCTCGTGATCCTGATTTTTCAGACTTATAAGTTTTTAAAACATGATTGCTGGTTTTTTCTTTCCTTTTTAACCCTGTGAATATCATTATAGTGACTTTGCGGATAATGTGTCTTCAGACCACAAGGCTTACGGACCCTAAAATGCGAATCTGTACTAACGAAGAACTTTCCGTAACGTCATATATTGCCGTTGAATGAGTATGCACCTCCCCTGTCACATGCAAAATCTCCACTTGGCAAAAACATGCTACCCATTTTTCCGATGTAAGGCGCCAAGTTTAGACGGGTGGTGGTGAACGGCAGGGCCCATGATCTCAGGGCAAAACATCCTGATTACCCTGATTTCAGGATGCGGTTTTAAATATGCCTTGTAATGTCAGAATGCTGCTCATTTGTACCCTGTGGTCTCAGGATGTTGCTATATGATATGCCCTGAATTTTCAGGATTACCGTACTGTTTTGCCCTGTAGAGTCAGGATGAATATCGAGGATTGCCCTGACGCGATTTTTGGGGGGTGGGGTGCTGGGGTGGGGGGAAGGGGGGGGTGCGGGGGGTGGGGGCTGATTTTCCCTTGATACGCGTACGCACCAACCAGCCAACCACCGACCACGCGCTCGTTTGCATCAGTCATGCCCAACGCGGACGATATCACTGCGCCAGTAGCATAGGCTGACACTGTTTATGTTTTTTTGCCCTGAGAGGTCAGGATGTATTTCTGTTTAAGGCCTGAAAATACAGGATAGCTCAAAACAATTGCCCTGAGAAATCAGGGCATTTTTTTGGATTCTCCAAAGTTACCCTGAGGCCTCAGGATGGCATAGATCCTAGTGAGGGCCCTGGTGAACGGGCCAAAATTGATGCTGCCACGCGGTGTGAGCAGGGGAAATTCAAGTTGCTGACGCAGTCAGGTCACGTCACGCTGCTTCGTGCACGGTACAATAGTGCTTGGTGTGGGACATGGCGGTGCAAGACCGTCGATGGGAGTCAGCCAACCATCAACCTGTTGTGTGGTTTTCACGGTTGGGGTTCTTCTTCTCCAACTCTTCCTTCCTTGCCTCTATCGAAATGCTTGGCTGCCTTAACACAGTTGATGATAGTGTTTCCTCTCTAACGTTTTCTAGATTACGAAGTTGGCGCGAACTACTAGGAGTGATCGTAG